AATGCCTTTCTTCTCTTCCTGCGCTGGCAAGGCAGGGTCTTTAGCACCTAAAGATCGCTTTGTGGCATCGCGGAACCTCAGCCTCAACAGAAAGCTCCATGCTTGATGCTGGTAGCAAAGTACTTGTCGAACCTCAAGAGTAAGCGCCTTCCCTTTACGGGTTTCTCCTCCCTTGCCCTGAGCTCTTTGAACGTTGCAATCTGTCGACCGAGGTCCCCCTCTGCGCAATTAGTAAGGCTGGCAAGCAGCTTTGTGTCAAGGATTGCAAAACCTTCTGCATAGACTTTGCCCACCCAAATGCGGGCTTCGTCTGGCTTTGCAGGGGCTGCAGCGATATTATCCCTTACCTTGATTTTCCAGTCCCTGTACTTCTCAGCCGTCGGGAATTTGGGCTTCTCTGCCTCTTTGGCTCTAGAATCTCGATCCTTGTCCTTTTACTTTTTCTGCCGCTTCCTCAGCTCCTTGCGGATGATGCGCGCAAGTCGGCTTGACTCAGAGCTGGAGCCGTCAGAGTCATCATCATCTGATGAGTCGGAGGGTGGGGGAGATGGAGACGCTTGGGGCTCTTGTCGCTCTTCTTCTCTTTCCGCTTCTCCTTCTTGTCCTTCTTGGACTTGTGATCGTCTTTGTCATCTTCCTCATCAGCATCTGATGGATGAGGCTCTCCTCCACCAGGATTCCCGCACTTCTCCTTGCAAGTCCTGAGGCCCACAGGGAGCATAGCTGGGGAGCCTGGAGACGCAAACGGCTGCACTGGTGTTGCAGGCGCTCGGTTCCCCGAGGCGAATTTTCCCTCAATTCCTTGTTCAGCGAGCTCAGACCGGAGGGCATCCTCTCTTTGCCTGGCAAGCGCTCGCTCATGCTCAATGGCTGTGTGTTTCTAAAGTGCCAACTGATCAAGATAGGCTTGTCTGTCAAGAGCCTGTCTTGCATTGTGAGCATTGCTCATGTCACTCAACTTTTGTTGGGTTAATGCTGTATGGTGTTCCGAGGACTCCGTGGCAAGAGCTCTCGCTTCATTAGCTACTGCGTCACGAAACTGCATGGCTTCACTAGCTAACTGTTGACCCTGTTCTGCCATCAGTGCCTCGTGTCTGAGTTCGGCGACCTCCATCACTTCTGCAGACTTGTCTTGGTTGACAAAAAGTGCTTGTTGATGAGTTTGTCTAGCATCAACGTTCTGGACTGCTGTGTTCCTCAACACTGAACGGTGACGGACCGGTGACGGACCCCTGTGCGTGAGATGACGGAGGTGCTGGAGGCCTACGTAGATCTAACGGCACCATAGGGAGTTCCTCAGCTGGTGATTCGGACACGGCAGGAGACGTGGGCACATAACCTGAACGGGATCGCTCGTCTCGCGAACCAGCATCACCCTCAGCCATGGCTACTAGGTAGTGCACTACCTACGGTGGATGTAGCCTGGCTATAGTCAAGCACGTACCGCACTTATGGCGATACGGCTGATAACCTGTAGTTACGGGAAAACGGCCTACAACAACCACAAAAGGGGTCGCACCTTTTCCTTGAGCCAAAGTACGAGCGGTAGTCCATGTCTATGGTACACTAGCATGCAACAACATAATGAAAATACTGGACACTTTCCACATTGTTTCTTGGTTCCTGAAACACTTGCCTCGCCTGGCTAGACTCTAGATGAAGAGTGCTCGTGCACAATGCCCAGCAAACTTACGCAAGAAAGCAAACACACCACGGGGCCACACTACTTACCTCTGCCTGTTCATCGGGATTGGGCCCTGCGCAATGCCCTGATGTAGACCCAACCGCCCTTTGCCTGCTTCTCTGTCTGTGCTTCTATTTTGTGAAGAACAGTTGCGAGGGAACTGGAGATTATCGAACACCATGCACAACATCATAACATCTTCTGCCCCGATTCCCCGGTGTCCACAGTGCCAAGTGTTTAACTCAGCGAAACTCACACTCAGAAGTTTGGTCAAACTTGACTAGCTCAGACCTCAAAGCTGCCGGTAATGGCAAACCATTCGCTGCCTCTCTGCCAAACCGCAAAGGGGGGAAGCTGAGACGGTTTCAAGCGTCCATCTACCAGGTCCTTCAAAGTGTCAACCAGCAGCCAGCCATTCCGGAATTGCACCTTCGAACTGGGTTGAAATCAACATCAACGATCCGATTACAATCCAAGGAATTCAGGTTCTGAGGAAGCGATTGCTGCTACAGGAGAGTCCAGACTGATCACTACCCATGATAGGCTTCCATCTTATGGCCCCAACAGGAAATGTTTGTCCAACAACCGATCACTTCAACAAAAATCCAGAACTACATAGCTTCTCATCTTAAATCATGTGGATCCGTTGGCCCGCCTTGATCGAGTCTTGCGCCCACTTGATCTGCTTCACCGAAATCTCACTCCAACCATCTTCTTCGCCACTCGCAAATGAGCTCTCGGAATCGCTACCTTCAATGAGGCAGCAATCTTCTCCCACCCCCCTCATAACTATGGATCCCGAGTGCCGACTGAATTTCAGGAGAAGTGGGTGGACTTGTTTATATAACCCCCTCTGAGCTCCTTGCAAGGGTTTGATTGATAAGAACATGTCAGATCATCTGGGGTCTATATTCTCTGCCACTGTTGCCCACTGCATTCCTAAGCAGAAATACATCACATGGTGAAATCGATTTGAGGAAATCAAACTGTTAGACGGAAAGTCCTTCTCCTTGGGAGAGGACTCTTTGAATCTATATGTGAATCGTGAATCATGAATCATCTCAATGGGGCTGGATATTTCTCTGGGAAGGAAGCGAGGCCATGCCAACATAAGCCACGGAGCGATCAAACAAACTCTCAGTCTCAAAAAAACATGCACATGTATTTCCAGCTGAACACTTATGCTAGCAACGAGCTGGTGACTCTGTTGCAGACTTCAGGAACCTCCAAGAAGGCTGAAGTTGCTTGTCTCCCCCCTCTTTAGACCAAAATAGAATGGCTAAGGTTGTCTGAGCGGCCATCATCATCAGGACTTTCAGAGGTCTGTGTAGCAGGAGCGGCTGCGCTGCGGAGAGAAACTCGAAAGGCAGGGCTGGTGCTGCTCCTCTCGAAAATGAAAAAGTCCTCATGCAGTCTGCAGAATTGACTCACCGTCTGGCCATTGGAGAACATCTGTTTCTTGTAGGCCGAATTCTGCAGAAACTTGCCCATCTCTGCATGCCCGATCGAACCACCATGAGACTGGATGAACTGCACCAGGGCTTCCCTGACTTTCACCCCGGGTATGCAAGCCTGGCGTGACTGTTCATTCGCAGATGGACCTGTAGCCTCCGTAGCCACATTTGAAGGCATATCTGTGGTCTGACATGCCAGGCTCAAGATTGCTTCCCCAGTGTGCTCATGGTTCAAGTAGAAGAGATCCGGCTGCTTGTGGCAAAACTCCATGAAGGATACATTCCCCAAGGCAGCTTTGTGCTCAGGATACCTGGAGAAGAAACCCCACGCAGCATCTCCAATCTTCACAAATCCACCTGCAGCCTTCACAAAGTCTGCAAGTGCCAAGCCTACTTGGCGCTCTGCTGGCGTGGAATTTCTCAGCAAATCGGCTTCGGCTACTTGATCCGCTCGCTGCTTGGGCACCCAGATCCCTGCTCCCTTTGGAATCTTTGGAGGCTGTGTAGGACCGGAAGTTGACTCAGTCGGCTGTTTTACTGAGTCTGCAAGTACCAAGGTTGTTCGACTATGTGCTGGTTCCCAAGGCTCCTTAGGGATAGGCTTCGGTATCCAAGTTGACTGTCTCACAAAGTCCGTTGGGAGTCGGTGGAGGGGAAAAGAAGGACAAAGAGGGAAAGGGGGAAGCATGGGAGGGGCAGGAGGAAACTGCCGCTGTGCAAAGGTGCAGGGTGCCGAACAAATTGGTGCCTGTTTAGGTACAGAAGTCACGGGCTGCGTTGGATGTGGCTTAGCTGCCTTAGCTGCGCCCTGCTTTGGATGTGGTTGTGCCACCACGGTTAGGCAAAACTCTGCAGATCCAGCAATTCTCGCAATGCAAAAGTGCTGCTTGTGCCTGCCGAGGTCAGAGCAGCTTTACAGTTCTGTTGGATCACAGCAAAAGTTCAAGAACACCCTAACACCCTGCCCAACTGGCCTGGCACAGAATGCGTAGAGGTCACCAAGGTTAGATTTGCTCTTCGGATACTTCTGGAGGAAAATTGAGAGCTTTGCCCGATCGATCGAGCCGCCGTTCTGGGCGATGAACTCAACGAGTCGCGGCACCACAGTTGTGTCCTTCATGGCCCAAGACTAGGTTCCTGGAAGAGCCCTTGGTAAATCACATCGTAGTTTTCTGCGACGTGTCACATGGTGCTAGTCAATTGTCTCCAACGGTGCAACAGTTTCAAGCAACGCTGTAAATCCACACAAAGCTCAGAATTTCTGTTGGCTTGTGACAAATCATTGGATCCAGTTCTGTGGAACCTTTTTGGCAGTCGGATTCCTGGTGATCTCATTACTGTTTCTTTCAGGCTTCACTAAAAGTCGAAGCTAACTCGGCAGCGCTTGGAGGGCATTGGGCGTATGCGGCATGTGCCCGAGATGGTTCGTATATAGGCGCAACCCGGAACATCCAACAACACATGTTGTGCCACCCCGGCCTGGAATATATATATAAGGGATCGGGCTGCTTCTTGGCTTTAGGGAAAACACCCAATCTACTGGACATGTGACATGCAACATCTCGAGTTCAATTGTCCGGTTTTGCAATTGTATACCGTAATTCGATCAGTAGGTGCACACCAGCGCATCATGCAGGAGTAGAACGAGGTCTTGTTTTGTCATGCCGCGAATGACCGGTCACACCATGTCCAATACATACATCAATCCTTTCCAAACCCATACTGTAGCAAGACCAAAACAAAAGGTTCTCCTCCTAGAACTGTTGTGATCTCCTTCGCCATGGGTCACTTTTGTGAATCTGCTCTTCCCCAGCAAAGCCACAACGTCACGCCCAGACAACAAATGCCAACACGGCATGCGCCTCTGACCCAGCAAGGCCTCATCATACCGGTCCAAGGCTTCGAAAAGGATCTCCTCATGACCTGCAATACGACTGGCGTGACGGGTGCGATGGATGTATCAATCGTGTACTGTACAGCCGTTGGACAGCCACGGGTTGTAGAGCCCGCTGTAAAAAGAACCGGCCAATCACCGGTGCGCAAGGCTTTCGAGTGAGGAGAGCCTTTGACCCTTCGGGACTCAATCAGTTTGGCTAGCAGACCTGATGAAATACTTGTTGGGTTTCTTGACCCTCCAAAATACAAGCACGAAAGGACAAGAACAGAGCTTGGCCCAGAATCACCGAAGGTGATGGATGTTACGCTTGTTTGTGAGCAAGACTAGTGCCACCTGAAAGCCTCTAGCCCAAGCACCTGCAGTCCATCCACAACGGCGCAGTCCTTCACACCATTGCCTCAGTCTAGAGAATGATGCAAACCAATAGACCGTGTGTCAATGTGTCACCCCCAATCACCTTTTTTTCAATTGGCCTTCACAGGCGAAAACTCCAGATTCAACAAAGTTGCGCCAGCCTCAGAACAAATTGTTTTGGACCCTGGTATCGCCATTGTTGCCTCGGAGGCTTCTGCACCTTGGAAACACTACCGAACTTCCGCACCTTACAAAGCTACTAACACACCAAAGGAGGTCTGATCAGAACACGGCACACCTCCTGAGATAAAAGCCTACATCAATGGCTAGGCAACACACCCAAAGTAGATGACATCTGATAGCTAAATCATACACCCTCTTGGCAGCAGTGAGAAGTGAGAAATCTTCGGGGTCCGAGTTCCAAGGTGCAAAGCCTCGGGATCAGCTCTAGCAGACCCTACAAGACTGCCCCTCAAATCCTCCAACTGCTGCACAAGTGGCGTAGCGTCCACTACCAACGGACCCATCAGCGGGCTCGTGCCGTTTGCACCAACTGCGCGAGCACAAGGACTGCTAGTTGCTGGGTGAGGCAGTTGGCCAAAAACCAGTGATCCAAGACTAAATTCAAATAATTGCATACTTCGAATGAATTTGTCGTTTCGCTGGACACACTTAACTTAAGTTCCTTAAGTCTAGCCGCTGTGCTCCGATTTGCTCAAGGCTTGCCCAAGGCCTCTTTGCAGATGTCGCACATTGGTCCTCAAGAGGTTACGGTTACTATGCGTTACAGGTTTACAAGCGTCCATTTGCAAGACCCGCTGCCTTGCGTCATGCTTCTTGTCACTCTTCCCTCCCCACTGTCCCCCCACGCCCAGAATTTCACAATGTCTTTGCTTCAAATGCCAAACAAATATATAATGTTTTTTGTATCACTATCTATCCACCGAATATGGGGCCCGCCAACCCAAATCCCCTCAATTGCTGGGCCTGCCAAGCGAACCAAGGTGGCGCTCTTCCGCCTGCCACTCGCAATGCTAGAGTTTGCCCTCGCACACATCTCAGCCCACTGACTCAGGTGAGTAGATAGGGTTGGGACATTGGGTTGCTGGGATGACCCTCGGTTGAAGCGATCTTCCAACCTGGCTCTTGGGAGGATTAATTGAAGAAAGGCAAGTTCATCGACTCATCCAGCTTCTCTTGGAGTATGTGGGTTGAGTACCACATTCTATGATCGTTGAAGGCGTCAAGGCTCCAACCTGGCTGTGCCCAGGGATGCATTCGTCTTAGGTGCAAAGGCAAGGGAATCTTTTGCATCCCACCTCTTGTGCGCCGCCAAAGTCCTTACAACCCTTCACCGACATGTATCCTGTATCGTTGGACGCTTTCTACATGTCAAGGGCTTCGGGCCCAGCATTCCGGGCCTTTCATCGTCGTCCTTCCGATCAGCAATGCGCACGAGCAAGTCCTTCGGGCCTCCGCTGTGGGAGTCGATGACTGCCTTTCACTGACTCCGAAGCTCTGCAAAATATAACTCAGTGGTTCACTGTCATCTACATCAAAAGTAGAAACCCACAAAATCCCGCAAAGGAAATGACCCGTGAGCCCGAACGAACTCCCGTCAACTCACGCCCATAAAATCTTCAATGATGGACACCTTTCGGTTCGATTCGACCAGAAACAGAAACAGCCCCGAACGGCCCCATCCATGACCCCATACGAAATTTGCTCTTTTCACCCGTAATGGCCCACAAGGATCATCTAAGTACTAAGGTGCTATACCATAACACCGCAATAAACCACAAGCACCTCCACAGTGATCAATGCAGACATCACACACCACACCCACAAACATCCAAACTCGACATGTTGCGACGAGAGTGCATTCATCGCTTCGGCTTGACCAAAAAGAAACGATCGCCTAGGAAGGTCACCCCGCAGAACTTCCGGAAGCGACCCCACAGGACAGCCAGCTCTTCACTGATCTCCTCATAAGTGGCAGGCGAAGTTCAAAGTATGAAGGGTGTGAATGGATGTGTGACATGTGATGGTTTTTGTAGATGATGCATAATGCAACAGCCCTCGGCCTGGTCATCTGGTCGTCCGATCATTCCTTTTTGGTGTCTTGCCCACTGCAATTTCTATCAGGTCTGGTCTCTTGTGCTAAAGTCAGAAAGAAACCCCACACCACCCACTTAACTTGCCTAATCATCCCTGCACGGTCGCAAATTCTACTTGGAGTCTCAGTGGGGTTCGGTCACGGAAAAACGTTGAACAAGTCTTTGTCCATCACACACTTCACCCTGAGCCAAGGAAAGGCAAAACCCCACCCAACCCAAACCCAACCCGACCAGATTGGATGTCTCATGCTGTTTCCAAGCAGTCTTTTCAGACCTTTACTGTACAAGTTCAATCCAAAAATGCGGCAACATCACTTGCATTCCCAGGCGCTCGCAGGCTGATAGTTTCCGCGTCTGCCAACTCCAGCTCGTTCCAGAACTCCACGGGGTTCCCCGGGTAGGACATCCGGCTGATGCCTTTCGGCCGTTGTCAAGATGTCATGTGGGGTGGTGAGTTTGCAGGGATGGGTCTCCTCTGAGTCGAGTATGGCGAGTTGGTGCGATTTGGGGTCATGTGAGCCGGGAGCCAAAGCTGCTAACAGCAAGGAGCGGATGATTTGGCCGGAAGGTCGATCCCTCGACTTCCTCACAGAGCTGGAGTGCGTGGAAATCTACTGCGCTCAGCTCATCATGGAAACAATCTACGACCCTCTTGATTCACCAAAAGTTGGAATTGGTCGGAACCATGGTCTTGTCTGCTTCAATCCGCCGACCCCGGTCTAGGACGATGAACGTGAGCGTGAGCCGAATGGGTAAACCATAGAAAATTCAACATGCAAAACACATGAACAACTCGTGAACGACATCCAAAGTCGACATGTTGTAGCCAAGGCTCTTTCAATAAACTCGGACTTCTCAATGATGCCATTCCTCAGCTGGGTTACCCAGGGCTTTCTCAAATGTACTTTGAGGCCCGGGAAAAGAGGGGAAGTGTCTTCCAAGCGGTTTGAAGCGTGTTCGCTACTATATAGCAAAACCGCCTCACTATCTGGCTTCCTCGCCGCCAATGCTTGTTTTGTAGTGGATGTGTCCTACTACCGCGGCGACCATCTCCTTGTCTGACCCAAAGGTGCTCATGCTTTTCTGGACAAACTCACTGCTGAAAAGAGTTAAAAAGCACCACACGCTGCCCACGAGAATCTTTTGTAGTTGAGACTAATTAAGGTTTGGAACGACAAATCTTGGACCAAATGCAGATTGTCAAAAGCCCCCACCCAAATTCTCCTCCAGCTGGGGCTAAGTAGGATGCGTGCTTTTCCGGCTTCAAGTGGTTGGGCACCGCTATTGGTACTTCATGCCCGCGTGTATGTGTATGTGTGTGTATGTCAATAAGAGATGTCTTGCCTAAGTAAGGTGAAAAGCGTTGCAAAACCATTCCAGGGCACATGTTGGTGTCGAAGTGCTTGAACCATGACTTCAGAATGGATGCCTCCTGGCAGAGTTTCACTGCTTCACACTCATCACACTGATCTGGATCCAACCATTAAAACACAATGGGAATGCAGTCCTGCGCGTTTACGAAAGAGAAGAAAACAAAGCGCAATACTAGGACAAAATGGCAACTGTCCACAAACTACACACTCATGGAATTGTCTCTGGCTGCGCCTTTGGATAAGCATTTCCTCACACCTTAATCACTTTTCTGTCAAGCCTTTGTGAGTCTTTCTGTGCCCAAGGCCTTCCTATAGAGGTAGTTTCGAAGCATTGTGATTGCCTGCACCAAGCGGAGGCCAGCGAGGATGTCTAAAAGGGAGCACCATGTCCTTCAGGCGTTGATCTAATTATTCCGAAGCCCTGATGTTTCATAGCTCAAATCTGTTCAGCTTTGGGGTTCTTCTCATAGGGCTTATAGGAAGAAGGGATTGTGTTTAATACGTCCACAGAGAGAGGAGCACATCAGGCGCCAGCGCATATCCTCGGTTGCATGTTTCTCCACAGATTTTGAATAGCAGTTTTTGCCTAGGACGTGTCGATGAAATTGATGTGGGTAGGTCCAGATGTGTCTCTTCGTCTTACTCCACTTCTTCCGCTGCAATGTGGAAGCAGTGTTTGCGTGTCTGCTTTTTGCTGCCATCTGTGGCGCAAGCAGATTCCGGCTAGATCTGCGAGCATCGCGAAATTAAAACCACAAGGTCCACATGAGAACTCTTTTGAGATCTATCAGCTTGGCACGTCCCAGCAAACGGCCAGTGTGAAACGAGGGGCGCCCACAGCCCTCGGGTCACAAGAATGGAAGATTTGCTTGCGCCGAGCTGCTGTCACCACCATGCAGTTGGTCGCCCCAAGTAACTAAGCGTCCATCCTTCAAGATGGCAGCAAAGGCTTCACTGGAAGAAATTATTTGCTGAACATCCCGGAGTTGATCTTGGACCTCCTGACCAGGGTGGTGCAAGGCCCCTGTTTAAACGGTTCGTTAGAACGTGTAGAGACGTGTACAAAGCCCTGCTCCTGACTGTCACCTCCAAGCGTCGGATTCCCCCACGTGACCACTCGACCGGACTGTAGCCTGGCGGCAAAGGCACCACTGCTGGCAGAAATCTCCAGGACGTTCTGAAGCTGGTCTTGGACCCCGCTGTTGTTACCACCAAAGAAGGAATGGCCCCAAGACACCACTGTGCCATTTCCCAAGAGTGCGGCAAAGGCGCCCGCACGGGTGGAATAGATTTTTCGCACGTCCCGAAGTTGATCCTGCCAGGCTCAACTGGCTTGAAGCCGAAAAGCAAATTGCAAAAAGCAGCTGGAAGCCTAAACCCATACTTTACTAGTGGGATTTGAGAAGAATCCTGACATCTCTCTTGCCCTCGTTTGGGTCAGAAACATCCAACAAACATCTGATTACTTGCCTCACACGATGAACTTCATGAAACCTTGAAAAAAGGAACGACTCTGGCTTAGAGCAGAAGCTATCAATCAGAACCAAATTGATCAAGGACGCCCTGACTGTGGAATGGCTTTCACACGATCCCTGCCCAAGCCGATTCCTGAACCTCTTGGCTATCACCACCATGCTCCGGATGCCCCCAGGTGGCCACTTGGCCATTCTTCAAGAGCGCAGCCCAGGCAGCGTTCGAGGCTGAGATCTCCACCGCATCTTGGAGCTGGGAGACCCCACGGAGGTTGTACTTCGGGCAGCCCCAGGCGATGAAGTGTCCAGCGCGCACCCGTGCAAAGAAGGCCAAGTTGCTGGGATACACATGCTCCACCTCTTTCAAGTGATCCTGGAGGTTGCGACTGTCACCACCGTACTCTGGATGACCCCAAGAAACTACGCTTCGATCGTGGCGCAAGGCGGCGAAGGCACCCTCTGTTGCATAGATCTCTTCCACATCATGCAGCTGATCCTGAACCTTGTTGCTGTCTCCCCCAAGGTCTGGACTGCCCCAGGAAACGACACTTCCATCAGAAACAAGTGCAGCAAATGCATGGTCTGCTGCATAAAGCTTTTTAACATTTCGCAGCTGACTCTGCACCTCATGGTTTTTTTTGAAAGCATGAAACTGCTCTTGTTCGAACAAGTGAAAGGACACGTGTTGCCCCAGCCCTCGTCCCACTTATGACAGAAAATATAGTCAATAGAAACAAGCCACCTAAAAGCAGCAACGGTCCCCATGACTTAAAACATCCTACTGAGGAAAAAACTGTTGACCATTCCCCGCCTGGCTGCTGTCGCCTCCATGGGCTGGATTGCCCCATGTCACAACTTGTCCATCAGAGAGCAGAGCGGCAAAGGCCGTACGAGTCGCATGGATCTCCTGAACACTTCTCAGCCTATCCTGAACCATGCTGCTGTTCCCACCAAAGCTTGGATGCCCCCAAGTGACAACAAATCCATCCGCTAACTCCGCTGCGAAAGCATGGGCCGTAGCCGAAATCCTCTGCACATGTCGGAGCTGATCCTGCTCGGCAGGTGTCGGGGTCTGATGACCCCAGGTAGCAACGTGGCAACCTCCACAGCACCATACGGCAAAGGCTCGCTCGGTCACAGCGACTTGTGCGCATTGCACGATGGCGCCAATGTGGTCCTCAGCTGTGAACACGAGTCTTCAAATTGGAAGTAACTTACTTTTAGAGGGACCAGTTAATGGGAAAGCATCCTCCATTGACTTTCAGATAGAATCCAAAAGCTATAACTGGAGGGACTCAGCTGGCACTTCATCACATCTAGAATCTAGAGTTCCTAACTTTGCCGCAGAAAGGCTCAGGTTTCCGGTGGTGTGCTTTTCTCATGACACTCCAGGCATTGAAGGATCTAGATACCCTGAGCCTCAGTTTGGTTTAGTCAAAACGAACAGCACGCTCCAATCGGTCTTCGGAGAAGCACCTCACCTGGGGCTGTGGAATGTTGGAAACCAGATCTGTGTTGATCTGGATCAAGCAATAGAAGAAAGCAAAGGGTTTGGCCACCCCTTCCCTTTCTTTTCATACCTCATCTTCCCATCTTATCACCAAGTCCCTTCATACTGTGGGTCCCAACATGTTCTAACACTGACCTGGTTACTGAATTAATAACTACACTAGATAACAATAATGTTATGTATAGGCTCATTGCTGACCTTTAAGAAATATTGCCCCACCGTGTGAACTGCCGAGGCACGCCATCCCTCAGACCAAGGTCCTCCAGAGAGCACAGCGGATCCAGCACGGCCGTGCCCGCAGGCGCTAGCAGTTGCAGGAAACCCTGGCGGAACGCGCGCTGCGCGGCCACTTTCAGGTCCAGAATCCTCAGTGCCGTGGAATGAGCCACTTTTGGAAACAAAGCAAGGTGGCGTTGACTCCGTCAGACTCACTTCCTCTGGCAGTATACAGTAAATAGCTCTACTTTCTGATGTCTTGGAAAAGTGGGGTCATAGCTCGAAAATAACTCCGGTCTTTCGCTCTTTCGAGGTAAGAATCTTAGCAGTGGCTGGCAAAGAGACGGTCATGCAGCGACCACTGGGCAGGATGACATTGATGCTGACCGTGGGTCCCTCGTCGACCTCCATCCAACAGCCATTGGCTCCAGCAGAATTTCCATCATTGCAAGGTCGGCAATGAGTGGCGGAAAACATTGTCTGATCCAAAGCAAACGACAGGTTGCTTCCCTCTTCGTTGATTAGGCTGTCTATTGTTCAAAATCATCGAAGATCCAAACACCACCTACCAAGCCTCATGTACGGTTTTAAATGTAAAGGAAGGTGGCTCTTTTACCGATTGTATGGAACCTGCACTCGACATGACAGCCAACTCCAAGCTTGTCGTGAGCAGAAGCGACAACAGAACGGCAGTTGCAACTCCACGTCGCAACACCCACTCACTGGTTCACTGGCGGTGGACAGGAGATTCTTGGGGCATCTTGGTGGATTCTCCCGAGAGTACCAAGGCAAGTGCAAGTCAAGAGCGTCTTTCTTGACATCACGACGCAAGGCCTAAAATCTAAAACATACACCTGCGAAAACCCAAAAAAAAAGGCCACAAATCCAGCACCACACGTGCCTTCCGCAAGGCCAAGGAGTGATTGACCTCCTCATCCTGCGAAAGCGGACAAAAGCATGGAAGCCACGGGTAGGGGTGGTTCGAGGCGGCCAAAGTGGCAGGGTCGGTCATTGAGGTGAGGCACAAATGTGCCGCGGCTTGTTGGACGAAGTTGAGAGCCAGAACGTTTTTGCAGAACTTAATCCTTAGCTTTATGATGCATCATGTTTCTTTCTCAGAAGGTGCGGCGACATCCATCTTTAGAGCGCACCTCGTGACCTTCACCATACCGTTGCCTAAAACTGATGGATTTGTGGAGTGCACCACCCTTGGTATAGCTCAGTGGAACACAGATCTTTCTCTGCAAGGACTGGCTCATCTACACTTGTTCAGGCCAAGTATATACTTGGCGGCCAATGGAACTGCCGCAGCTTCCTCTATCCGGGCATCCAGGAACCAATCAAGCTCTCCCCGCCATCTCCTCCCAATCGCGACTGCTCGCCATGACCACATGAGGAAGCTTGATCAGCTGCTCGTAGAAGCCGAGGCGGAGGGCCACTCGACCATTGTCGGGCGATGAGATAATCCAAAGATGTCGATTTGTTGAGAGCTTGAATCTTTCAAAGTCTAGAGTCTAGACCAAAAGGAACAACTCATTTAGGATCTGGTCGTCAGTGAGACAGTGAGATGCACCACCCTCAACAATTTGGAAATATCATCACGTCATATCACGTCACTTAAGGACTGTCATTTGGTGCTGGATCCTTCCATGTTCCGTCTTGTTTGCATCAAGCATGCAGCATGTCAGTTCTTCACTTGTTTCTTCTCTGTTTCACTGTGCTCCATCGAGCCACAGTTGGCAAAGACCAGAGGACAAAAGGAGTGCTGATTTGTTCGTGTTCCTTGGGGTCTCGAAGGGGATCTGGGATCCCCAAATGTGATTCCGTCAAAGACACAGAAAGGATGCCACAAAGGCGACAGCTACCATGGGTGGGTTCACCCCACTGACCTAGTAGCCACGCATGGAAATCAAGGAATAAGATGTGCGTCGGTCTAAATCTAAACATGAAGAGGATGTGGATCTTCACCGCCTCAGCCCACTTGGGTATGGCATCACAATTTCACTGTGTGTTCTCCTTCTTTCTTGAATCTTTTCCATTTCAACGCCCAGCCACCCGCCCCTTTTCTTCACCACAGGTTCACTCAGATGGCAGCGCAGCCCGCGGGGAGTACACCAGGGTCCTGAGAGGTTTCACCACCACCAAGGCACCAAACGGTCTGAAATCTCCATGAAACGGCACATGTTTTGGATTGTGCCCTTCACCAATGGGCTGATGGGATACTGCAGATTTCCTATTTCCAGGCTCTCACCAGGCGTTCCTCCTTAAAGTGTCCAAGTGAAAACTCGAGATAGAAACAATGCCACATATGCTTTAAGGAGTTTGACTTCTTTTCAGCCAGATAGGTGCATTCAGCATCTCTTGGAGGGTTGTCCATCAATCTGTTGTTGGGCTGGGACCTGTTGTAGAAAGCTATCCTTGCCTGAAGGAAGAGGATGGTCCCATCCCAACTGCCCTGTTTTTGTCCGAGTGGCACACGCCGCCTTGGCTGGCGCCACCGGGGCTGGCATGTCCAAGGTGGAGACGTTGTGCGTCGCCACCAAGCACTCCTGCCACTTCTGCACAGGTGGAGGCTGATGCATGGTCTTGAGACTGCGTCTTCAAAGGTCTAATGAAGAAGGAAAAAAAGGTATGAAACAAGTAAAAGCGAGACTAAAGAAAAGAACAGCAAGAAGTTCTTTCTAGCGTTCTTCTTTCTTTGGCCCAGCCTGGAGCTTGCTCGACTGCTGTGCCACTGGGAGACCCAGCACCTGATTGCACCGCTTTGGGCTTGGCCCAAACGTGTCATGATGCAGGTGTTATCCAACCAACATTGTGATGCTTGGGCCTAATCTACGACACACCCAACGTCTGATCTCTAATCTTGTTGTATGAAAGATGGAACTTTTTGAAGAGCACATCCATGAGACACAGTTCAAACTGATGCAAACTTCTTGGAATAGATCCTTGCCAAGTACTACCAGCTGCTCTGAACTTCAGCACTGATACTGATACTGATCATGTTGTTCACTGCCGCTCTTTGAAGTATTGAAAGGCCATCCCCACTTGGTCTAGAAAAGGCCTTGCGATCCTACTTGGCGACAATCTACTCTCGAAAAGGCTTGGGGCCGTCTTGACGTCCCTCAGAGCTGACCAAGCCACATCCAGCAAGCACAAGATCCGCTGAAGAGCCGTCATTTCCGCCTGGGAGTGAAAAATGGCGGCTTAAAAAGACAAGACCTCTAAGTGGGTTGTCTTCAAAAAGAATAGAAGTTGTTTGTTGACCTCATGTGCAGAGTGACTCCAAGCCAGTTACACACCCACCATTCCCATGGCATGCCGCTCGCCTTCCGGCTAGTGGACAACGTGGCGGCCGCCTTGTAGGAGCTCTCCTGCATGGCCACCTGGCCGTGCGTTGGCACGCGTCTAGGCTCAAACGCTGCGGGTGAGGATGGAAGGGAAGGTGTGGGTTTGTCTAGAAGTCATGGCAAGGATGCATTCCACTCAAGGTGAAATAAGACCAAACGCGAGCTTGCCCAGATCATCCGAGCACCTATCAGCCAGCTAGAGCTAGGGTGGCTAGAGTTGAGATAGAACTGTTCAGAATGGAAAAAGAATGGTTCTTCCAATGTTGTGGCTCAACAATCTGCTTGAAATGACACATGCGATAGTCTCCTCAAGATCCACCGTTTGCTGCCCGAACAAAACGGCCTTGCGCGGTCTGCTCGGCGTGGCCTCAGAGATGTAGCAGGCCTCGTAGTTGCTGCAGGCCGCGACTCGTGCGACGTAAGGCCCACCTCAGGTCTTTGGAGCTCGGTGAACATGCGTTCACTGGGATTGCACAGGACTTGGGCCTGTTTCCTGGAAGAAAGTGTGCCTTGAAGCAACTAATGACATGGGCTCAGTCCAAAACATGGACGAAGCAACTCCTCCTCACCAATACATTTCGAGGCGTCCATCTACTAAGCACAGTGTATACTTGCTACATTCAGCCCAGGTCGTTTCGCATGGCAAGTACAGTATGATCAAGTGTCACCAAGGTGAGTAGGGTGATGTGCATTTGATGCGTTTCGCCTCTGGAGGGATGGAGCTTTGACAGTGTTCAAGCCCAAGAAGCCCAACTATTACCCATGCTATCTGTCAAATCCAAGCAATCATCACTTCAATCACACTCCACCCCATTCACTTTCAATCAACCCTCCACTTGCTGCAGCCATGTTTTGTTTTTCACGTTTCACTCACATCGTTTCCTGGTGACCACCCCCGAGCAGTTCGCCCGTTTTGGTCTGGAGTGCGTTCTGTCTGTCCACATCGGCCAAAGCACAGTTGACTTGTGTGACCTCAGAGGCCTTGGAGCTCTCCTGCACAGGACAAACGCTGGTAGAAAAACAGGTCATGTGACGGCCCCCAACGACGGCTGAGTGAAAATGGATTTGTTTTTGCCCGGGTGTTTAGGTTCGATTCCAGATCGCATTAAATCACTGGGCCTTGTCTGTTGATTGGTGTGCATCCGAACTTGCAGGACCTTACAACACAGAGGTCGTAACTAGTAAGACTTGGTAAGTAGAGGGATTGGAAAGGCAGGTTGAACCTGCAAGGGTAAAAGTATCATTTGAGCGGCTGGGTTGTCATTGGTTGGTCGCTGCATCGGTTCGTTGGTTCCTTGGTTCTTTCGGTCCTCGGTTCGTTCGTTTTGTTAGCTGTTAGTTCCTTGGTTCGTTCGTCGTTCCTGGCCTTGGTTCGTTCGTTGGTTGCTTGGTTGGTGGGTGGGTGGATGGGTGAGCAGGTCGGTCGATCAGTCGGTCGGTCAGTCGGTCGGTCAGTCGGTTGGTTGGTTGGACAACAAAGAACCACCTATTTCCCGAAAGCCTTGGCACCCAAAGTCACCAAGATCTTGCACCAGAAACCTTTCTAACACTGAAGGATTGGAGGATGCTTTGACAGGCCGAAGTCAACCCTTCTGCTCTCGGATCTCTCAACGAGCTCGCAACAAAAAGACTGGCTCTCCTGTGCAATTTCAAAGGTGAGGGAGTTGCTTGTGGCCAACTGCACCTCCAGGCTAAGGCACTCCTCATGGCTCGCATGAGGCTTGGGATCACAAAGCTCTTGGGACACAAATTGGGTGGTTTCATCAACGCCAGACCATCATCAGCTCAGTGACAGGTTGACATTCTGGTTGGGTCTGTTGCAAACTTGGTGCAAATTTAGTTTCACAAGCGCGAATGAATCGGAACGAGGTGCAAGCTCAAAAGGAGGTATCTCGACACCAGCCAAGTATGAGTACCTATTTCCTTTCTGAAGATGCCAACTTGGCAGGTCCGGGTTTCTTTGTAATGAGCAGAGCTCCTTTTGAATGCCCAACCAGTTAAAGACAGGGGGGCAGTTGGACGTCCAGTGACAAGCTGAGTAGCAAGCTCCTACCCCCACATCAACCAACACAGGGTGTTTAGCCAAGTCCTCTTTTCATGTCTTTCCGCCTTGCCCGCCACGCTATGTGGGTCAAAATCTTGCTTGCCGATGTCCACATGATTTCAACCGTCCCTTTTTCCACGAGGGGAGTGTAGTTCAACCTGCTGTGTTTTCGATCATTTGTTGCTCCTTCATCTTGGCACTCAAGTCCATCGACAAATCGTCACACTCCGTGGACTTGCTGCTGTAGACGGCCGTGATGTCCTGTGACGCCGTGTGGAGAGGACGGGAGTCGGCACCACACGGATCTCGGAATCTCTGAGGAATCTGTCCGGGAACGAACGGGAAAGAGTAATAGGAAGAAATTGTGGAGCAAAATACCTCCAACCTACTAGCTGGCTTCTTGTTACTAAAGAGATGGCCTCACCCCTAATAGTGATAGCCTCCACCTAGTAGCTTCTTGCTCCTAGGTAGCCCCATATGGATAGAACATTCTAGAGACGTGAGACATTCTGAATCAGCTCTAGCATACGGAAAGTCTGCCCGGTCACCCGGTCCGTACAGTTCTGCCCCCGGAGCTTCAAGGTCGCCAAGATCTGGATATCACGCTCTAGGAAATCTTCATAGCTGCCTCGGAGATGAAAAGAAAGTAGTTCTGCATGAGGATTCACAAAGAAATACACGTGGGACTGTGAGAACAAGACTTGAAGAGAAAGATCCAAACTTGGTGGCCTCCTGGATGTTCAGAAACGTTGAACATTGACGAATTGACATCTATTACCGGTTAACCGACTGGACAGCCCAAAGTATGGCAAGTCTGCTCTACCTATCAGAGGCCGCTGTGTGCTAGAGCAGAGCTCTTTGGCAGCCCAAACTTTGTCCGTCTTGGCAGAGCTGAGGCGTTTGTAAGGTGGGGAGACAGCCCAATGTCACACAGCTTCCAAAACAATCGGCAAAATCCGTCGCCTGCGATCCCTGCCAAGCCACCGCTGAAGAGTGTGGAATCTGCGCATCGGGCAACCCGCGCTGCGCCTGAAGAACTGGCACATAGAGTGCAACCCAGTTGTGGAACCAAGGATGAAGGACAGAATAGATCCAATCCAGTGTGTGAATTTGCAACACACGTTCTGTGTCTCCCAGGAAAGGATAAAATACCAAGCCCAACGCGAGAGCAAACAACAGCAACAGTGACCCTTTTGTGGTCCCACAGCCCAGTGCTCCACAACTTGACAACCACACCTGCACTCGCATAGTTCATGTCGTCGTAGAGTGCGCAGGTCGCCATCTTCGCGGAGTGCGAAGCGGTCAGCTCCTGCGGTTGACGGGATTGATCCCTGGTTGCGAAAATACAAGGCTCTTTCAATGACAGATGTTGGAGAACAGAAGGAAGATATGTGAAGCCCGCTTGATATACTGATCGGATGAAGGATGAATCGAAGTGGGGGAGGCTATGGGGGGCCCCAAGCATGGCTCAAGCTTCTCACCAACTACTCTCTGCAAGCATAGTCAAGATTTCTTGACAAACTTCACATGGGATCCCACCGCCTGGGTCCACATGATGCAGGACCTACAAGAAATGGATTGGACTGGAATATTACTGATATTACTGTTGGTTGTCCGGACATCAAACACCCTTCATATGACTCATATGACTCATACCACATATTTTGCAGTCACTTTGGGTTCTGCTTTCGGTACTGGAAAACCGCACGACTCCTAAAACTTGAAACCTCCAGGCACACCAAACTGCACATCTGGGCACCCCAAACTCCATGGCAGGTGCTGTTGCGCTTCAGGAGGCTAGCTTCCTGCTACAAACGACCAAAAGAGCGCACAAAACTCTTGCACGAGTTGGCCACAACTTAGCACTGCTTTTCATGAAAACCGCTGAATTTAGTGCCGTTCTGTATAGTGACCTCGAAGGATGGAAAGAAAAGGAACCAAAAACCAAAAAGGACCACCCTTCAAGCACACTATGACTCGTGCACCAAAGTGCTGGGAAAGGACTGGACCTACAGGTGCCGAAAAACAAGAAAGACTGAGCTGTCTTTTCTATTTTCTTCTTTCGAAGCGTTTCCTTCAGACCTCCCCAATCGTCGGAAAAGTTCCGCCAAAGCCAATCGAGGATGGGAAACACGGTGGGATGTGGTGCTTGGAAGACTGAGCAGCAAACTCCATCTTGTCCATGTGCTTTCTTTAAGGGTTACAGTAGAAAGCTATGAATGAAGTGGGATCGCATTGGATGATCATCCACCTTCAGAAGTACCCGTTCGTCCTCAGCCTTGCATGTGATGAGGTCTGCGTGCATGGTGGTGGTGACGGTGGTGGTTGGTGCGCCTGCGAAAGAGCCAGAAAGCCAAAGAGGACACACGGAATCGAATTTAGTCGACAAAAACCACTGCAGGTGAAGGTGTGCCAGGCTTTACAGGTTTCGATCTTCGCTAGCCACCATTTCACTGCAAAACACATGGCTAATTCGGACAACATCATTCATACAAACACGAGCACCCACCTGACGTCGTGGTCGTTGGAAGGGTTGTGGTTGTGGTTGCCATCTTCGCAGCCTGTCGTGCTGGCAGTTCGACCGATGACCTGGATGATCTCTATACAGTAAGTACTTTTGAAGCATGTAGATCTGTGAGATCTACCAACTATACTAACACTACGCTCGAACATTCTGCAGAGGCACACCACATACAGCCCATGTCCTCTCTGATGCACTCGGCTCCTGCTGTATTCTTGGTAGACTAAGGTCTGGTGACTGTTGACTTCATAATTAAGTGGATGTACGTGTGTTTCAATTAGAAGAGTTGGTCGCGTGGTGGCACGCTCAGTTGTCCAAAATCTCTTGTGGTAGATGAAATCCATTGAAATCGGTGGGTCCCTCATTTTGAAACATCCATTTCCTATTCGCCTCATCTAATCAACTCCGCCAGCTTCAAAGCTTCCCGCCTCGGACAATGCGATATCTTTGGCCTTGACGCAGGTGTCGAAGTTGCTCTGATTCTGCAGCGCCTCAACTCGAGGTCGGCAGCACTTGAAGAAGCAAACTCTGAGAAAAGGCACATTCTTAAAGAGGTCAAGTGTTTAAAGGCAATAATTCAGGAAAATGGACTCAAAAAGAATTCCACCAATTCGAGTGAACGAGTGAACACTATCCTTGATTTGTTGGAATGGAGAAGCGAGAAATATCTGACAAACTCCTTGGTTTCATTGTACTATGAGCAGATCTGGGCGTACAACTGTTCTGGTTGTGTGCATTTCTCTTGGAGGCATCTGCCTTTTTTGGTAAAAATGTCTGAAAGATGCATTGACTGTGCAGCAGACCGCTGCTTCCAAGGCAAGCCATCTGCCCTCTGAAATCCGTCATTTACAAGACGCCATTATCCTGTTTATCCATATGTATGTAGAGTCTTGGGATGATCCAACAACCCACCCCCCAGTAGCGTACCGTCTGAGCAGTAGTATGCTGCTCTTGGATCGCCGTGGTAAGCCTCACAGCAATGCAGCAAGGGCAGGTGCCCATGGTGCTTTCGGTGAGTGGGGCTGGGCTTTAGCTTGACCTCCCACATGCCGTGAGGCCAATGGGTTTCTGCACGGCAAGAGTCTTGGTCGAATTGACGACGCATCTCGTTTTGACACACGTCCATGCTAGATCCAAAGACCTTTGGGCAAAGAAAGGAAGCCCACCGAATGCAGTTTCCATCTTTCTTTACCTTTCTAGATTCTAGAGTGAGTGTTTCGCATCTGACTCCACCACCGCACGTTTCCTTTGTCTGTGACTTCAGCTCAATCCCCTACCTGCTCCGATGTCGAATCATTTAGTTCGTTATTGAAGAAAAGACTCTCCTGATCCAAAGAAAGCCGTCAGGCCATTTCAAACCAAACCTGACAAAACTAAAACTCTGCCGTCCCAAACCACACTTCTGGGTCCAACGTGAAGTCCCCGACCCCCGTTCCCATCTCGGCTGCCGGACGAGGTGATCATCGTCCGGATGGCCGTGATGGTCGCACCATCGTCCTGCGAACGATCCGCCTGGAGCAGGATGGGCCCAGGGCGGGAATGCGGCGGGAAGGATCAGTTTCATGCGTTGGATGGGGTTTGTCAGGGCTGCCTCAGTTGGGTTTGTTGGGAATGTGGGATATCGACGCCAGACCTGAAGGTTGTTGGTTGACGCTGCAAGCAGGGCAACGCACTTTTTCTGCATCGAAGTGACAGTCTCAGAGCCCTTTTGCCATGTCGAAAAGGGTAAATGGGGTGCTCCTGAACCACACCCCATGAGGACAACGAAAACTATGTTGGAAGGAGCATTCCCTACATATCATCTTTTCCTTTTCTCCCATGGAGCAGGACCTGTGTATCTTACATACACATAACTATTTGGCTCAATACCATTTTGTTGAAATGTTTTGTTGAGATCTACCTTTTTTCCACCTTTCATGGTCAACTCAATTTCCTTCCCATCGCGAATGGATTCCTTCAGGGTGGCATACAGATCACGTCCAAAGTTCTTCTCAAAGCCCTCCATCTGGTAACAAATACTGTACTCTTGCCCCGCTAGCAAGCCGGTCACATAGGCTTCCTCAGGATGGCGTGCCGCCGGAGGCTTCTTCTTGGTGTCTTCCCCACGGAGTGCCGCATTTTCTTTCTTCAGCTTGGCATTCTCTCGGCGAAGAGCAGAAATCTCAGCTTCCAGCGATGCCACAGATGATGCTGCCGGACGCTTCTTCGACATGAAGACGGAACAACACCTCGAAACCTGTGAATCTTGCTATGGACTTGAGCCAATCCTTTTTATATAAGTGAATCTTCTCCAAGCTTTTGTCATCGTGGATTCCTGGGCTTCTCTGTCAATCACACTGAATGACTGGGGTTCCCTAGACCAAATCGCCTTTCTGGAGACAAAACCTGTCTCTTCCCCTCCCGACACCATATGGCACGACATCCAACCGCATATTCCCATCGCACGTGTTGCCTCCAGCGCCAAGGATCCCAGAGCGCCCGCCACCTCTGCCAGCGTGGCTGGCGAGGCATCTGGCCTTCGAGGAAACTCGGACGAGCTGTGGATCAAGGTGGGAAGGTGCCTTTGTCTCCAAAAACACCCTCATGTTAGCGGCAAATGAAACCATCCACGGAGGCTCCCTTCATTTTAGGGTCATGAACGTCTCACTTGGGCAAATTCAGGTCGATGAAGGTACCAGGTACTGTAAGAAGTGGTAAAGTTTGGGCAAAACTGAGAGCTCAAGTTACCCTAGATGCAAGCTTCAACCTTGTTAGCCAAATTGGCAATTTGAAGCTCGCATCAGCGGATCCACGGAGCATGAAGTCTGGTACCCTGTATATGCCTGATGGCTTCAGCAGAGAAGTGGTTTGAGATGAATTCGTGCTTCATCTGGGGAACACGTGAAACTACCGATTATTCGGTGTCCCCATCCGGCACCCATGAGAGAAACGAACAATTGAGATCTGGGTCACAGAGCAGATGGATAGGCTTTGTCTCGTCTGCCTGTTTCTGCACGTTCTTTTCCTCGGCCCTCATTTCACCCTGACCTGGGGCCCAAGACGCTTGCTTCAACAATTGCAGAAGCCTCAGCGACGACTGGGCCCTCCAAGTCGAGATCGGCGCCCATGCTGAGGAACATGGAATGGAAGAGTTGAAAGCTGATGCAAAGGAACCATGATGCTCAATACTTCCAGTTCCACCACGATGCAGTAGTCTCCCAGCTTGGCTCTTCACAGACCTCCCAAGTACTCTTGATGTGTCTCTTTCTGTTTTTGTTCCAAGGCTCACGGTTGATGAATAGAGAGGTGGAAGTTCTGCCAGCTGCTATCCCCCACCCGAATAAGCCTGAAAAAGTGACTACAGTGACTGTTTCCGCCAACTGACACACCTCATTGGGACACGGTTGATCAATGAGCGAAAGTGGGGTCGGGTGTTCACAACCAGTGACACGGCCAGCCATTAAGACATCAAACGCCCTAGTAGCTTCTTGCTCCTAGTAGTAAGACCAGGAGCCCCTAGTAGCGTCCTTGCTCCTAGTAGGGATGCTAGGAGCCCCTAGTAGCTTCTCGTGTTCCTAGTAGTGTCCTCTACCGAAAGAAAAGGCATCTTGGCCACACCTTTGTAGATGAAAGACGTCCTGCACCAATGCACAAAAGCCCAGCAAATAGCAGGACTCTGTCTTATCAATCTCAGGCACTGAACGTGAAGAGTCTCATAAATGAGGTCGCAAGGAATTGAACACATTTCCATCTGAACATAGTAAATCACCTCTGGTGCCCACTACAGTTGACTACAGCCCCAGATCTGAGCAGTTCATCTCCCCGTGTCTCCTTCTGGGTTGTGAGGCATGGTTGTTCGTTCATAGAGGACATACTCTCCTCAACCTCTTGGTACTTTCTGCCCTTGTGTCCTTTTGTGCCCACAAGGCAAAAAAAAAGAACTTCTGAAACTGCAAGACCTAAAAGAGGAACATCCACGGTGCTACCTCGATGTCCCCACGGCGACGGATGCTTCACCATCTTGAAACTGTGGCCCCGAGCTGTGCGCGTGGCGACAGCGAGGCCGCCACCGGCGCTGCGGGTGCCGCCGTCGCGGTCACAACCTCGTTTGAAGGATTGGTGAAAAGAAAGTATCTTCAAACGACGAGATGATGGAACGACAAGATTTGGTAATTACATTTGGTATGATTTAGTATGCAGTTCCTTCCCCACGCAAGCATGACCATAGATTCCATAGATGATTGTCCCTCAAATAAATGTGTGTGTGGCAAAGGCAGTATACTATATGCTATACTTTGTCTTTTCTTCAACGAACTCCTCGTGCGACATCTCTCTGCACGCTTTCTTGAGGCCGGCACCAAAAGCAAGGCTTGGCCTTAGTAACAAGAAAGCATTCATGATACGTCATGTCATATGTTTAAGATTCTCGGGAGTCACTCTCTGCAAGAGTCTCTGAAAGCACTTGGCGAGACAGTGATCGCGTGCAAAAGAGTCTTGGGATAGGGGAGTCAGGGGTAGCAACCGCGGTAGTCAAGTTCAAAGCGTTCTGGAAATAACGGAAAGGAAAGCAGGAAGGAATCATTTCAAGACGGAAAGGAAGCAAGGTCTAAAGCTTTTGAGAAACAATGTTTTAAAAAAAACAGAAAAGTCTAAAGGTCTGAAGAAAGGAAAGAAAGATAGCTACGTCTAAAAAAGAGCTGTTGCTTTTACTTGTAAGGTGTAGTCAAGTCGATAACATGTCCAGGGTCTTTAGTGCTAATGAATTTGAGGCCTGATCTACCCGTTTCTTTGGAACGAACCGACCAAAACATCGGACAATTTCTTTGTCGTTTCGGTGCCTTACAGGGCACATTGAACCGAACCAACGGAGCCACGACACCCAAATGGACGGAAGTACTAAGTAGCCAAGAACGGTCTTCTCCTGAAAAACAAACATGAACAACTGCCCCTGTTACCATGTTGAGGGCTTGTCATGGGAACAGAAACCAATTCAAGTGGCCAACTGCCAACTGCCCAAAGTTGAGCCCTCGAGCCACCAGTGTTCAGTTGCATCTCATGAAAGAACTTGGCCCTCGACACAGCATCTTCATTTCGGGTCGTGCGGTCGTGCACGGCTGGGGTTGTCCTTTTCTTGCAACCCACTTGAGCCAGAGCAAGGCGCACGGCACTTTCAACCATCTCAAGAAGTGGCTCTGATCCTAGTTTCGCTGGGCCGGCACCAACAACCTCGCTTTTATCTAAAGGCGGTTTGTGCAGGATTCGCAACACAACCAAAACAGGGACAATGCTTGAGCAAATCTGGCTCAAGACTTGCTGATCAGTGTCCGCACATCTTTAGCTCAGCTGTCAACCACAACATCCAGAAAACCACGGACATCTCGGGCGACAGCCACATGAATGCCGGTTGGTCAAAGTGGGCGACCATAGGAACCCTACAGGTGAGCACCCCAACCATCAAACCAGCTATGTATATATATTTTATTGTTTTCTTGCAACACTCGCTTTGCTCATCCGCTCAAACTGGCAAATGCGGCAAGTGCCTGAGTTCACCCAAGAGCTGAAATCACTACCACCAACCACAGTGAGTTGGAGGGTAGAACCCATGGGCAACTCCTTGCTTGATGGCTATCAATTTTGTTGCAGACCGCTCTGGAGGCCATTAAGTTAGGCCGTCTGTTCTCATGGTGTGGTGCACAACCTCTACGGACAAATTGAAGTGGGTCACAAAGCCTACGAGATCCGAGTTCTTGACTCTGCCAATTGGCATCGGGATACCAAAGAAAGGTCTTCTCTATGTCCAACACCTCGAGCTTGCTTGACTGTTTTGGGAATATGACGTATTTCTTTTTGTCAGCAAAACCAGGCAGTGCTGACCTCTACGTCTATTGTCTCCTCAAAAAAAGTGGTCTGGGTTTGATCCTGCGAGGCTCAAGTGGTGCTTAAAGCAGGCAATGCGAAGAAACATGAACAGTCGAAAACACGGACCGTCTTGGCCCAAGGGCCATAGCGGGCCACAGCTTCTTTTGACAGCTCTTTCTATGACGCCGGGAGGTGTAGCCATCAAATGCCGCGACTGGTGAGTGGGCGACTGAGAGCTGTACGAGCAAGCTGGCGAGACACTCCCACTTGCCGCTGGAGTGTCCGCCTGGGCTTGTCTGGATCTCCCCTCGACGGTAGAAATCGAAGCCGCGCTGGCAACGACCTCTGCCCACCAATCCATCGACATTGATGACCTCCCACCGGTCCTTCCTTCGTTCTCAAGCACCTAGGATCAGCTACATTAAACAATCAAACTAGTTAGATTGCTCTTTCTTGGTTTTGAAAAAGCTTACCCTCGCTCAAACAATGCCAGTCCGGTGGACGCCAAAACCTACAGAACCCTGGCCCTAGTCCAGGGCTTTACAGCATCAATCTTCTTGAGATCTGGGTTCCACCAAACCATCTGGCTGAGGGTTGTGTTGAAACGCCAAGCCATGCCAAGCCCATGGCACGTGATGGTCATGGCTAGGTGGCATGGATTTCTAACATGGTCCGCTTAAGCCTCCATTCCTCATCAGAGTTGCTCACTTCACATCCGCCTTCTTGCATCAACTGGATTTGTCAAGATCCACCCGTCAAGCAACCCCCAACCGTTATTGACATCTTCGAGGGTGTCAGTGGCTAGTATGGCAAAAGTTGGACATTTAAGGTCACTTGCACAATCACGTATATGTCATATATGTCATGTATCAGTGTATATATATATATATGTCACCTTCCTCCCACGCTAGTATATAGCCATTTCAGGAGCAACGCAGCGCGAGACGAGCCTCAAATGGAGGTCTGCGGTCGAAGCAGATTCGGCCCACAGGTGTTTGGCACTGTTCTGAACACGGGCCACACCTGATGTGGACCCTGAGTCTTGGGATGTCTTGGGATGTCTAATTGAGACCTGTCTATTTGTGTGGATCAGAATCCTGAAACACCAATCGGATCCCAAGCCATACTCCCAAATGATTATCTGCAATGCCACACCTTGGTATACAGCCGGTTCTTGTATAGAACTCAAACAACCAAATCTGTCTCATCGCTGGCAAAACTAACCTGAAAACAATGAACGGAATGATGCCAGCAATGATGACAAGAACCACTTGACCGATCGGGCCTTCCTAAATCTGGGCAAATAACATGAAGATCCACGAAGATATTTGGCCCAAAACTATGCATGCAATTCATCTGTACAGCATGGAACCTCGTCGTCCAGTCCTCAGCTGCCGTCGTTCCAACACACTTCTTCAGGGACTCAAGGGTGGGAACCGAATCAAGTTGAGTAGAAGAGCACGACGGCTTCACTAAGTCAAAGATGATGCTTTTTCTAGAACTAGTAACTAGGGATGGCTTCAATCTAGCATTTGGACAGAAACGGGGTTCAATTCAGTTGTGTGACATAGTGGATTTGTGTGACATAGTGGATCGTCAATTGTTACGACCAGAAAGTTGCAAATGTGAAAAGAGTGTCCTCTAACTGCTGTGATGTCAACCACATTGCTTCACACCCATGATGACCCATCACCCTTGCCCCGCTGCCGCCTTAAGCAACAACCAAAAATGCTATGCACTTTGCCCCAAGCATGTCTTAAATCCCACTGGCCAACTAGTAGCAGGGTCATCAGCACTGGTCCCTCCACAACCCACGTTCCCTTGGTGGCCTTATACATGACATCCACGGCCTCAAAGTGCCAATCCCATAAGAATGAAGGAAAGCCCTGCCCTGCCCATATGGGGAGGCGGATCATGGATACCCCACAAAAGATCAACAACCGATCCCATGGTTGTTGGATGTTGTTGGTGTATTTAGTCTATCCAAAATATCTATGTTCGTTGAACTGTCCAGGTGGCTATGGGAAAAACACTTCCCAAACCCTGAGCAACGGACGACAACAACAACAACAACAACCAACAAAAACACCTGGTCCCTGGGTCAAGACTGGTGAATGTCCAAGAAAATGACTCTACAAAGATCGGACATGCTGGGCCATCTCTGACACAAAATTGAAATCAGTCCAAGGTGCAGAAACCAGAGGCGTGCATGGCACGTCACTGTCGTGACTGTCTGACATGTAGTCACACGTGCACGAGAGGCACGTTGGCGTTTCGCAGCGGGGTCTGGGACTCTGGCACTTGGTCAAGAAGCGCCTCTTGTGCCGCCTCAGTTGAGCGACCAAACGTCAAGCCTCACCCTGCTGTTCTTTGGGCAACTAACCTCAAAGGATTTTGTAGATGACGGCAAAAACGAACTTCCCAAACTCGTGAAACCTCTAGTACTTGCAACCTTTGGAAATCCATCTGGCTTGATTGGCACAAGCCGAATCTGTGCGAATGCAAACAGCGCGACAAAAGAAAAAAGAACGGCTAGAATCAAGAGTTCAGCCGTTAGAACTCCAATCTGCGGCGGAGGCCCAACAGCATGCCTGAAGAGTCTGCAGGAAGGCCACCAACGTCTCGGCTGCCATCAACTCGTGGAACAAACTCGGAACGTCCTGGTGCGAGCACAGCGGGGTCTAGCAGAAGGAACCCGCAGAGGGAGGCGGGGCCACGAGATGGAACTGAGACACGAAGGTTTCTAGAATTCTGTTCAAGATGGTTTCAACGAAGACTGAACAGTTTCCAGTTACAAAGATATTCTGTCCAGAGTCCGGAGGAACTCCTTTTTGACTGGTGAGGAGACCCGAGATCTTGACAAATGGTCCTCAAGAAGAGATGTTTGATGCCCCGAACTCGGAGGAGTTTTAATCCTTGTTTGACTGACTGCATCCCTTCTATGAACAAGCTGGTAGCAAAGGAGCACCAGGGAGAAAAAGTAATTGCTTTCAGGCTTCCCCCCGAACAACTCGCCCTACCAAGCAAAACAGAAACCCAAAGACAAGGTGGATTTAGTTAGCTTTGCTTGAAAGAACATTTACAAAAACTCACTCTCACATTGTCGCACCCTCCGCTTGGGCTCTGATCCAGTCCTGAACATGGTGGATCGCAGGTACGGCCTGGGTGCCGCTCCAACATGGGCGAAGAGTTGCAACCTCTCGAAAAGCCATATCAGACACGTGGAACAAACCTGACCTATCCTGAACTTAGGAATGTGAAAGTAGGTCATCACTTCCGGATGATCCAATCCAGTATCGGCCTGAGTGAACATTCAACTGGACCCCTTCTCTGAACAAACCAAAGCAGCATCTCGTCAGCCCTCCCCTCCCTCTCCACATCTTCCAACAATTCACCATTTCCTCTCAGACTGCACACCTTGAAGCCCTTGAAGTGTGCCATCTTGTCCTTCACGAGTTCATGAGAGACCTCCAGGGCATCGGGTCGGTGAAGCTGAAGGAGGTCCTCACACCAGGTCTTGGGCGAAACGGAGCCGTGGCCACGTGGCGACGCCAAAACACGAAACCTAGGTTTTGGAGCGATCCTGGAGATGGACTGGGGCCATCTTGGGGCAATGCTTATTGGGGGTCCAAAGCATTTGGCACACACTGGCTGTTTCCGAACTGTGAACGAGTTCGAGCCTTTCAGGGTCACGGTGTGAAATTTGTGAAGCCAACGGATCTGTTGCTCAATGTGACTGATGCATATGAACAAATTTTGCTCAACTTGCGAACCACGGCTCTCCCAAAAACTTTGGCGATAGGGGAAGGACTCTAAGGGGATGTGGGGAACTTAAAGAAGATCCCGGATTTCTGTTCTGCTTTGGCGACCCACTTTGAAATGAGCCAGCCGAATGAAGGAATCCCATGGCCGGATTGATTCCCCACAGAACTAGTGGCTACTGTTGATCACACGGCCAAGATGGGTAATGACTTTGGGAACAGTGGAAATGCCCCTGCCAATTTGGAATTTGATGCACAGCAGAATGTTTGAAGTTTGTTTTAGGCTAGCGCAAGAGGAAAAGAGAGTCCAAAACAGTCGAACAAAAGGAAAGCTGGCCACTATAGGCGCTGATACATTCTTGACTTCATACAGCAAAAATAGATGTCCACTTCCAGACATGGCTATTTGTTGGGTTCTCGGTTTGGATCCATGGCATCAAAGCGGCGACGGCTCACTTTCTTGTGGCTATGGATGATTGCGTTCCCATTTGAACACCTTCATCTGAGGTCAATCATGTTTCATCCAAGTCCATCTGATTGCCGCCTGTCTTGCAATGAATGTGCTATGGCTCAGAGTATCGATCGACATTTTCTCAAAGTTTTGCCTTCACCTTCATCTCAGAATCTTTGTGCTCTCCATGATTGTCCATATACTGTACCATTTAAAGCCAAATGCATTGTACTTATAGATGACATCTCCTGGTAAAGCACGAAGAGCTCTTGCGCCATGAAATCCACCTCTTCATCCACAAGCTCCAGTGCTTTGGAGATCAACTGTAGTCGCGCCACACGAGAGAAGCAAGCGATCTTCGAGTGGAAGCAGGCCGGGATGATCAAGTCGTCCAAGCAGAAGTCCTGGTACATCTGCAAGAGCCTGGCAGCAAATGTTGTTGCGTGTGTGTGTGTGTGTGTGTTTCTGTCTCAGAATGAGACAATCCCAACACACCCAACGACCAGCAATTGAAGACACATCGGGTTGGAAGTTTAGACTTGGATGCAAAATGTCTTGCTTGCTTTGAAGACACCAAAGGGAATTTGGATGTGCTAGCAAAGGAACCCAACACAAATCCAGCTGTGAGCAAAGTCGATCGAAAAGAAATACTGTCTTTACAAGAGAAAGTGGGGAGTCCAGGGTCACCTTTGCCTTTATATGGCTGCAAACTACCTCAACAAGAGGCCAAACAAGTTGTCCAGTGGTGGAGATTCCCTAGGATCTTGCTGCGCGCTCAGTGTCCACCAATCGGTCTCGGCCTGGTTATGGTTGCGTGCTGAGCTTCCACATCTGTTCAAGTTCTGTATTGTAAATATGTTGAATGGACTGGATGGGACAGGTGCATACCAACTAGCCGCAAAACACCCATGGCTGCAAGCGATAAAAACAGAATCATCAACTTGCCCCCCATCTTGATGGGGCACGTCTTTGATCGGAAAGGGCTCACAAAAGCAATGCTAAGCCAGGAAGCTTCTCCACTGGAAGCCTTGGGCGGTCTGGAGCGACAGCTTTGCGTCAACGCTTTCAGTATATAGAGGGAAGCCTTGGGCTGTTCAACGGCCTTACGTAGCAGCTCTTGAGGGGGGCGTTGTGTGTTGAGGCATGTTCAGCTTACAAATGATAGTTTCACCACTTCCAATGCATGTCACCAGCCAAGTTCACTTGTTCAACGCCAATCTATTTTGCATTGGATCGATGTAAAAAGTCTGCGAAGTTCTTTGAGAACGCTCTTTTGCATGTCCGTGCCGGGGCGCAAAGACCGTGGCATGGCCGATGTGGCGAGGGGCGGCCACTCGTCTCCCTCGGTGGAGTGAGCAGTGGGGTGGTGGAGTGGTGCGTAAAAGGAAAGAAAAAATGCAAAAGTAGAAGAAGAAAGAAAAGTAAAGTAATACAAAATAAAAGAACACTAAAAACAAAAGCATATATTACAGAAGAAAAGAGAAACACCCAAGATGTATGTCAATGTTCTCGCACTTGGCCAATGGCTTGCGCAAATCAAGAAATCCCTTTGGGGGTATCTTTCACAAGAGCAACCCTACTCCAGCAAAAAATTATTCAAGAGGCACCAGTGCCTGAATCGGTGTAACTGACCGCACTGCCTGAGGTTTGCCATTCTGCTGAGACTTTCCCAGTCTGCAAGATACAGAGCATGCTGGAACCAAAAAAGCATAGACATATTGTAAACTTGTAAACAGGAATTTCCATCTACAAGCCCAACCACATGTCAGTTTTAGTGAAGTACTTTTTGTTTGGATTAACCGTCACTTTAAGGCATGGCACGCGGAGAAGAAGAGCTTGTTGCCACTCGCGCTCACCAGTATGGCCGATGGGAGCACCGGAAGAAGCAGCTGACTTTAGCCTTGGCCATCCAGAACACAATTGTTCAGTCCTTTGATCTCCGTGATCTTTCGAGTGTGAGTTGGGTCAAAATGGAGGACATCAGTTCGGTAAATGTTCAAATAACATATTTTTACGTACCAGTCTGAGGGCTTTGCAGGTGTCCTGTCGAGGCAAGCACAGTTGGTGGTTTCCAAGCACAGAAGTGGATGTGTGACTGTGTCTGAATCACTTGGGGAACTGGTGTCTGGAGAAAGAAAACACTGACACTGCGGATATCCCATTATTACTGTGAAAAGGCAAAACGTGACATGAGAAGAGTCAAGATCTTCATCTGTAAGTATTTTCGGAGCACGTCTGGTGAATTTTCAGCGCCAAGCATCTGGCCGTCGAACCCCGTGAGGGTTGGCATGCTCAGTCTTTCCGCCGTCGCAACGCCGCGTACAGCACGATGAGATGAAGTCCCCACCAAGTTGGCCATGGAATGACGGAAGAAACGTCCCACCATCGCTCCAGCGCCCATGGTCTTGGCTTTAACTTCTTCCTTGAGCTTCCCAAGGTTCCCAAGACAAACTTCCAGCTCTTGATGAATCTTCTCCAAAGTTCTTGTCGCTTCGCTCGGGCGACGGCAGCTTCTCCGCCCATCTCGAGAGCCAGCAACACCGGCAACACGAATCTTTGAAGCCTGGGATGATGGGAAGACAAAAGGAATTTGGGAAAGTCCTTTGCTAATCATCTTGCAGTTTCAATCATCTGTCTACTTACATAGACCTGACTGTGTCAGCCGTCAGTGGACATGTCTAGAGTGAAAGTGAACAATCAAAAAAAACGGAGAGCGTGAACCCCAATTTCATGGGTTCATGCTGGTTCACTTTTTGTTGTGACTCTTTGCCGAGAGCCATTCCATACAGACTCCACAGCGGGTTCAAAAGCTAACAAGCAGAAACTCCAGGCACTAAAGGGCATTGAAATCACAACTCAAGCCATCACCATCAGCAATACCTGCACTTCCAGGGAGCTTCAATAAGTGTTTTCTCACTCGGCATCTCTTCGCTCCCATCAAGGGCACGGATCTGCACTCGCCTCTCCTCCCTTGCTCTCGGGTCTGGCAGCTCTTCACCTGCCGCACCGGAAAAGAAAGCACCAAAGGCGTCTCCCATGAGAATGGACCAGGAACATGGCCGTGCCTAGAACGTTCCCGAAATTCTTCCGATTCATGCTTCTTCCGGGAGAAGGGCATCCTCAGGTCCTTAGCATCTTCACCTCTCAAGATATGAACCATGAAGGATCATTGATCATCCTACTTTGGTGCTAGGCCATGCTTCGGCATTGGATGGTGACTTTTATATCACAGGTAGCGACTTTGTGCAACTCACAGGCCCAACCCCTCGTTGACAAACGACGCAGACGTCAGACCCAATGCAAGAAGAGGTGTTGCACCATAACATACTGTACTCAGACGCAGGGGGCCGACATTGCCAGTGGCGTTTGAAGAGCGTGTGGCACCCAAAAGATCGAGCCACACCACAGTGACATGTTCCGACCCCGCCTTCGATTGAAATGATGGTATTCTTCATGCACCCCGGCATCCGGTCTCCACACCGCGCTCCAACGACCCTAGCGGTCAAGTCGGTCCATTCACGTCCCGGGCCGCACGTGCTGCAGGCAGATTGAACGAGTGAAGCATATGCAAAGTAATGTGTTTCCCAGCATCCTGGGTGGCTTGAGGATGTTTGTAGATACACCCCCATACGGCCCATACCCTTTATCAGCTGTTTAAACCATGTTTACCGTTCAGCCATCCACCAACATTGCTGGGCCACTGGGTCACTGGGCTTGGCTGTTCGGACCTCGGTTGAAAAAAAAGTCTCGTCTGGCCACTCCAAGGACGCGCCACGTCCCTTTGTCCCTTCGATTCCGGCATGACCCCGTTGCAAGACGTTAATGGGCCTGAGAATGACCGTGTGTTTTCTTTGTGGTCCAACATCCAAACAAACAGGCGAGAAACCACTTCAAACCTTTAAGCGAACCTGTTTGAAGCAATCACTACCAGACTGACTTTACCACCTGACATGGATGGCCTAGAACGGCGGGAAGAGATGTTCTTTGCCCAAGAAGGCTCTGAAAAAGAACCAACCTGAACAAAGCCGACAAATTGCAGCAAAGGTCAGTGATGGTGTTTCTTCTGCTCTCATTCTGGTCACAATGTCCAAAAAGGCCAACCGAGGAATCAACATCGGATCATCCATGATCATTCGGATGCTCTCACTAGTCGGAACCAAGAATTCAATCAAGTCAGTGCCTGATCTGAGCAGGAGTACCCCATCTAGTCCCCATTCTCAAACCTGCCTGCCATAGATTTACCGCAAATATCAAAGAACGAGCAAGCGCTGAGCCCACACCCTTGTTGCCTGAAAGGCCGAATGAGCCTGAATGTAAACAAGGGTGGAAGGCTACCCGTGCCCCTATCATATCCTGCTTAAGATGCTGCTGAAACAATTCGTCCTTCAACATGCAGTTCCAGGCAGGCGTCTTTTTGCGTCTCAGAAGTGGTCCAAGCACCAGGGGGACCACAACATGTTGCATGGCAGTTCTTGAAGTTAGCAATGCTTAGCGTGAGGCAAGTCGCAGACTCCGTAGACTTAGACTGTCTTCCTCATATCAGATTGCTAGGCGCAGTCCTTGTGGAACGACACCCACATGCTCTTGATGTGTGAAAGGCACTTGCTTGAGATGAAAGCCGTGATCGCGAAGGCAGGACTGTGACTTTGTTTAACAGAATTCTTGGCCGCTTACACATGCTCCACATAACCAGGCACTCTGCAAGGGAGCAAGAGGGATTGAGAAATCTGCTTGTTTTGGAACATGTTGAGCTGGCAGCAGCCTCCGCATTCAAGTGTTTCAATTTTGTCTCCTCAGCGCAAGGGTCATGCGCTATGAGCTAGACTGCGGTCTCACATTCAGGCTTTATTAGCGCAGGGAATCGCACGGCACGCGGAGAGAATTCTCCTTGCTTTTGCGGACCTTCAGCGATTCGCTTTTGGTCAAAGGGTCATGTCACTGGATCCAGCGGCACTTGGGGACCAGGTGTCGCTGAACTAGTGACAGCTGTTGACCTTTGCACAAAATGGATTAACAATACCTGACCTATTGAAATGTATGTTGTATGAGTAAAGGCGGCCACTTGGCTCACCACTGACTTGGGGATGGGCTTTGTCAGGGGCGACAAAAGCAGCCTCACAAAAAGGCAAGTGCCTCTAAGCAACTTCAGTTCCTGAGCTATTTTCGCTATGTGTGGTTTAATGATGCTTAATGTATCCACTGGCCCGAGTGAAAAGCATCCCGATGGCTTCAAGCGATTGGCTTCCGTCTTTGCGCAGATTCGGCAAGCACAGGGGTAAGTCTATCCATTCACTCCGTGGCTCGGCCAAAGTGGGCGTTCATCACATCCGCCGGGCGCGCTCCTTCCACGGCCTCCCCGGGGAAGGAGCGACCGGTCGCCCGAGCAACACTCGTTCGGCCGACCCTTAACCGGTACCGAGTGTCAACCGAGTGATGCTGTGGCCTGCCCTGTTCCACCGCACCACCGAACGGAAGTGTCCAACACCCACCAGTGGGGTGTCTGCACAACTCACCGGTCATGTTGGGCCAAAGTATGGGCAGTTGAAAATGAGCACGATCTCAACATATTGAAAATGCTGTTGAAAATGAGTCTTTTGCTATCTGCACATCTTACCAGCTTGCTCTTGACCATGGTTTGTTCAAGCAAAATAACATGCCGAGTTTGTGTGGTCCAACAGTGAACAACTTTCTGGAGTTTAATCAAACGTTCCAAAATCCAAAATCCAAGAACCATACCGACCATACGCATTCAGACAAACACTGCTTGCGAGCAACACAGGACATTGTAAAGCAGGTGAGATGTGATGGTGGTGAGGTTGGGTTCATATAGTCAGTGTTTGGATTTCAAGGCATCCTGGCCTTCGAAAGTGTTCAGGTCATAGCATCCCCTTGGGCAATGATTGTAGCACATCTCCCTACTATTTGCTGAAGTATGGACAGTTGCCATGCCCCATGACTGAACATATCCAGCCATTAGCTACCATGTTTTTGGCTATCCAAGGTGTGCAGTGAGCGTGGGCTTGTGAG